ATAGAGAATGTACTAGCCGGTACTGTTAGCGCCATCTAAAAATATAGGAAACATAATTGAAATTCTTATTGTAATAGTCACAACGCCAACAATGGCGGAGTGGTTTCAAATAAAAGTTGATCGCCTCATTAAAGTTAATAATAATGAAGAAAAGAAAGATATTTTGACTGAAATCAAAATAAAATTGGGAAGTTATAATCATGCAGAAATTGAAGCCATTGCACGAAGTTTGGATGCTAGTTCTTTATTTCTTCTCTTTTCGTCTAACGACAGGTATGATGACGATGTTATTTTTATTTTTTTTTTTACGTTTAATTCATTAATAACGAAAGACTAATTTAATAATCATTTTATCTAATTTATTTAAGAATAACGTATAATGTATATCATGTATCATAAAATTTGTACTTATTCTTTATTGCAGAGAAGTCACAGAACAAATATGTATAATATTCAAAACTTTATTTGAAGTATTGGAACCAGGGGAAATTTATCAAAAATATCCAGCAAGAGTATATGAATTAATATCTCATTCTGATGTATCAGTTAGATCTCTTATATTGAAGGAGCTATTGTCTACTGCTTCTAATCAACAAACGCAGCTTTTATTACTTGCAGATGTTAATTTAATAGTTGCAGTTATAAAAAGAATAAGTGATGAAGATTTGACCGTTGCCACATCAGCAATGTGTATTATAAAAGAAATTGGAAAGGATATGAATGGTTTGAAAATTTTATATCACGGTGAACCTTTAAGAACATTTGCCAAATTGGTTGTTAAAAACGATAATGTAAGCTTTCGGATTTATGATGTTATAATAAACATAGCCAAAAATTCCAAAGAAGCTTTAGAAGTAACGATACAATCAGGATTTTTGAACAGTCTTATCAATATTTTACAAGATGATGATATATTATTACAAATGAATGCTTTGGAAACTTTGACAGAATTAGCTTTGACAGAAGAAGGCTTGAATTATTTGGAACAGCAAGATGTTTTGACAGGACTTGTTCAGAAAATTGCACAAGCTAATGAAAATCCCTTGTCAAGTCTGTTAATTCCTGGCCTTATGAAATTCTTTGGAAATGTTGCAAGATTGTGGCCAAATGAAATATTTTCGAAATATCCAATTGTAGTCTCTTCATTATTTGAAGTACTTGACAGTGATAATCATATTATTTTAAATGTTGCATTAGATACATTGGGTCATGTTGCATCTAGTATTGAAGGAAAATACGCATTACAAGAATTGGGAGATTCTATGCTATATGCTCTGAAGAAAATTGCAGAAATTATTCAAAGAATGCCAACAGAGTTAAGAATTTCCAGTATGAATAATCTCACTCTCATTCTTAATGTACAGAAGATTGAACAAGATAATAGAATTTTATCTTTAACAAAGTCATGGTTCGATGCTCTTTGTGATGATCCATTAGGATTAATAGTTGGACTGTCTAAGCAGCCATTTGCTGACATCAGATCTGCCAGCTTAGAGGTTCTAGCAGTTGTGGCATCTCAAGCATGGGGCCAAGAGTATATATCTACTTATCCAGGTTTAATAGAGTTTCTCCTTGACAGAAACATTGAAAGCTTCAAAGAGTGCAAGGAAACTAAATACAAAGTTGTTAAATGTTTGTCTGAAGCAGAATCATATATATTTGATGCAAATACCATGCAAAAATTTAAACAGTTTGTTAATGAAGGTCCATTCTATGTTGAAACAAATACAGAAATTGCATTTGAAAGTGCTACATAAATACAGAAGTTGCATTTGAAAGTGATAATGTTATTTGGTATTATGGACATTGTTAAGAAGTACAAGTTGTATTGGTAAATATAATAATTCATAATATTTCATGTAAAACATATAGTTTGTTTTTTTTTTTGTTGGGAGGGGAAGGACGGTATATTCTTTTATAATATTACTTTTATAATATATGTATTTAAATAAGAAAGTGAAATAATTTATTTTATAATTAACAATACATATAAAATTTAAGAAAACACATTTGAAACAATAGAAATGTGTATAATACTTTAGTCAACATATATATGACATGACATACCAGTATTGTCTTTCACACAGTTTACAGATCTTACAAAGAAAATGTAAATAATGTTATATAAATATGTGTATAAAGATTACACAGTGATTAAATAAGTTTTAGTCTTATTGTATGCGTTTTCTTTTTTTTGGTGCAAGAATTTTTAACATGCTTACCACAGGAGCTTCAAAACTAATTGATACAATGAATGATAAGACATAGGATAAAATCAATTGTCCTAAGAAAGTTATCATCTGAAATATAAATATATATGTATATTTTTTATTAAATTTTACAGGTAATTGATTATAACTTACTAAACTTACCACTATATCTTTGCCCAAATGGAAAGGTGAATCTAAATTCATAGCAGTCAGTCTAATAATTATTGGATGAATTAGATAAGCACAATAAGTTACTCTACTGAATGGATATAGAACAGGTGCTGATAAAATTTTGTTTATATATCCTAAAAATATTTGTACACCTTTTTTATTATGTGTTTCTCTCTCTATAATTATTAATTGTATTTGTAAATTATTTACCTCCATATCCTGTACTACATGCAATAATAATCCATGCTAAACCAAGTGCCCAAGCACTGTGGCTCAATGAGGAATAAGCAGCAGCAGTCATAGGAGCGAGTTCAGCTTCATATAAACCATAAAGTAAACTTAAAAGACATGCAGCAGAAAATAACCACCCTATAACCACTATGGCCTGTAAATTATAAAATTAAATATTACAGATAACTTCAAGTTATTTTTATTAATTAATTTTATCTCACCTTTGACATTTTCACTTTACAATCAGTCTTGAAAAGAAAATATCCTACTGACATTCCAATTAGATAAGGTCCTAGTCTAGTCCATGGTTTATCATATATTTTATCAAAGAGAGCTAAAGGATCATCTGAACTTGGCATATGATTGTTAGCAAGAGCAATGTATCCTGTTGTTAGCCAGGAGCTTACTAATAAAGTTATAACAGCAGATGCTGCAATCTTAAAGTGATTTGTAGCTAATACTAATATTACTCCACCAATAATATAGAACTGTGTATCATCTGCAACATACCAACTCCAAGGCATACACTGTAAAAAAAAAAAGTAGAAGTGTTAGTATAAATATAACAATATATAAAGATTAATAAAAGCGATTGAAGAAATTGTTTTACTTACCATTTGCTCTACTGGAAATAGAGTGTTGATATAAAGTAAATTTCTCCACCAGTAATTAGGGCAATTATAATGATCAGCTGTAGGAGGTTCAAACACAGAATTGAAATGAAACCACTTCATAGAAATCTCAACTACACCAAGAATAAACATATACGGTGCTGTAAGCCTACAGAATCTATAGACAAGTAAACCAATGAATTTTAATGATCCAGCAACAAAACCTTTCGTGCCCTGAGTGAGTTTATTCAAATCTCCTTTAGCATTGGTTCTAAAGTATAGAAAACTAACGAGTAAACCACCCATGAAGAAAAAGGTATCCACACTGAAAGCCCCATTTGTAATTGTTTGAAAAAGAAATTTTCTTTCCACAACTTTTCGATATTCCATATTATCAGAGTATTTAAAAACCACTATACAAGTGTGTCCAAGTATGACCCAAGCCATTGATATAGCTCTGAGACCATGAATGGTACTGATCGTATCTCCTCCAACGTTAGAATCACAAATAACTTTTAAATTGGAAGGAACAGAAAAAGATAATAGTAACTCTTCAAGAACGCCTGTAACCAGAATATTATTATCAAATAAATTTATTTCTTAAGTATACTCCACGAACTTACTAAGTTTATATATTCCTTCATTGGATGATTGCAAGGCACTCTCATGATCGTTATTGTTATTGACTGCTATGGACCCATTGGGAATTGTATCTGCTACTGGAACAGGAAGGTAGACCATACCTAGAAATTCTATGAAATATAATAATGATTGTCATTTTCTCTCCCTCTCTTTCCCTTTCTCTCTCTCTCTCTTTCTCTCTCTCTCTCTCTCTCTCTCTCTCTTTCTTTCTTTCTTTCTTTCTTTCTCTCTCTCTTTCTCTTTTCCTTAATCTCTCTCTGATACTGTACTTGTCAATGATTGTAAATGTTAGTCATTATTTATATTCTATTCTTTTTTTAAAAAGTAAATATTTAAATATCGTTTTATATTCAATCGTGTCACTTTCGAATACAATTGCAGAGAAGACAATTAAACAAATAACAATAGGAAAATCTGTTCTTACCATTTAATGTTTTTGGATTTCCATTACTAAGCTGATCAATCTTTCCATGTTTCTCCAAATCGTAAATCATATTCTTTTTACGAGCAACCATCCGAGTTAGATATATGTCATATCCAGAACCAGCTATCATAAGTAGCAACACTACAGATGTGACTCCACTAAAATGTTAAAACATTAATAAGATATTTTCGTTAATAAACATCGTTAATAAACATATTCTACAATTGTACAAATAATAAACTTACAAAAGAATCCAATATACAGGATCAGAATACATGTCGTATAAATTATGCTGATCTCGGATTTTCTCAATGGTTGAATGTTTACCAGCAATATCGCTGGCTGCAAGTTTTGCTAAGACAGATACGTCAGCAGAAGTACAAGAAAATGGTAAGCAAACTCCAATATGAATTAATCTCATCTGAAATTATTAATTGAAAAAAACAAAAAAAAATGTTAAATCATTATAGATATTTTATAATTAGATTTATAATATAAATATATAGTAAATATACAGATTTATAATATAAATACTGTATATTTAAATATTAATTACCGTGGGTGATAATGTAGTATTTATAGAAATTCTCATAATATAGAAACCTAATGGATAGGGTGGTTGATCTATAAAGGTTTGTGTTAAAAGATTAGTACCACTCAAACCAAGATTTCCTTTTTTATGGGGTTCTGTATTAAATTCCTGTACTTCATTTATTATAGATGCAGATGTAGGCTTTTCATTCTTTCGTACATAATTTTGACCGATATATTCACATTCAGTCGCTGATCCAGTGAAGTATGAATTTCCCCAAAAGAAGCCATTGGTGTATCTACCCGAGGCATCGTCAACTATAAACAAAAAAGATAAAAAAAAGAAAAGGTTTAGAAAGATTAACTTTTATGTAAAAAAAAAATCAAATTACATTCACATTGGCAATTAAGTATTGGCATTTGTAATATAGCTATGATCACCTGTTAACTGATCAAAGAAAATAGTTATCTGATATTCGTGTTAGATTCATTGGGAAACTGATATATAAGAATTATGGGATTAATAAGGATTATAGGAAAGAACGATTTGAAGAGCTTAACTCTACGTGCGTTTCTAATCAAGTAAGACTTTCTATTCGGGAAGTGAATACGAAGTTATCTAACCGCATACCTTAAAGTTTTCTGGGATTTGTACACGTAAACTCTCTCGTACACTTTAAGATCGTATTATAGTTAATTCGAATTGTGCGGTTAAAAGCTACCTCGTTGTTACAGGTACGGAAGAAGCTAAAACTCATCGTACTTTTAGTGAGATACCAAACTTTCTTAAGTAGTTACTTTCAAATTAATAATTTTATATATATATTTCTTTTTACAGGTAGCCGACACTATCCATAATAATATTTAATGCATACAACCGCAAAATGCGGAAGATCTTATTAGCTATTCAAACTTCGTAAGACCTAGAAGCTCAATACGTGAGTTGAATTGAAAAAGAGTTTATAGAAAAAAGAAGAAACAAATATTTTATTCTTTTATTTCTTTTTCTTCAAAGTCAAGTTCAATTTAAACACGTGATATGATTTCTATCCTGATTCAATACGAACATGAGATAAACAAAGCAAATTTTCAAAAAATCCTTAATTTTCACGATGAAATTATACACGTAGTAATATGTAATATATTGTACATTTATAAACGGCGAAGTGGATATCCGTTTCGTTTTACTTAATTAAAATGAATTGACATTTTCAAGGTGACAAGAAATAATTTATAGAGAAAATAAAAAAATTATGAATAGATGTTAACGAAAAAAAATAAAATATAACGAAATTCGGCATGTCAGAAATCATAGAAAAAAAGCAAATTGTAGAGTGGCTTAAAATTAAAATAATATATAACATAACCGGTTTAAGACAAGGATGTTTTCGAAAAGTGCCTTCATTAGTAAGATTTTTAACTTGATTGATGTTTGAGTCCATTTCTTAAAATAAAAATAGATTTTTATATCTCTCATATATATATATATATATATATATGGTCACGTAAAGGAAATTAAAACGAATGATTTCTGATCAATGAACATGATCGATTGGTCAAGATTTATTACAATCTATTGATTGTATAATCAATAGCGAAAGTAATATCGAATGTGAAAGACTTTCTTTTCATGTTTGGAAAGTATAGCAAGACTAATGTCTACTAAGCATGTTTACTCCATTAATATAAACGATATTAAAACACATTCGAACAGCTTCCTTGAAATAAGCGAATATTACTGAATGAAAATAATGTATATAGATTTTATTTTATAAGGACAAAGAACAAAATATTTTACTGGATAAAATATATAAATAAATTATATTAACAAGTAGATTAGATAATATTCATTTTACGTTATTTTTTGTTCAAAAAAAGGGGTAAAAAGAAGAAAACAAATGATATAAATGTATTATGATTTTCTCAAAAGATGATTTAATGGAACGAATATATTCAAAATATTAAAGGATTATTTTTTTGCTATATTTTTATTGATTAAGATGTCAAATATTTTATTTATTCCATAAGAAACCTTTCAATCAAGATACGTCAAACTTGTTCAGGGTTAATATTGTCAAGGTAAAATATTGAAATATAATTCACTTAACGTTTCTATCATAATGCATATAGGAAGACTGGAAAGTCGTTCTACAATTTGATGTCAGTGAAAATATGGGTCAACATCATCGTCTCCATTTACAGTCGACAGTGAATTAGGCAATGCGTATTAGAAGTTACTTCAGTAATATTCGAGTGGCGTGTATATATATATATATATATATATATATATATATATATATATATACACGTATGTAAAGAATGAAATTAGTTATATGGAACGAATCATGTAAAACATACTTTCAAATCTTTTGTCAAGATTTCTTGAAGAAAGAGAAATAAATGAAAAGAAAGTTTCTTTTAGTGTATATACCAAATTATGGAGAATGGTTTATTTCAGTGGCAATAAATATTTTAAAAGAGTCATAATGATAATGATAAGATGAGACCACTTTCACGCTTCCCGATAATTAGATCTAATTGGGTTCTATTCGCTTCGAGAAATCTGCAATTAAATCTATTTTCAAATTTTCGTCACTCTATTTTAATTACTGTAAGTTTATGCACGCAAAATAATTTCTTTCATTACAAATAGATTAAAGTGTAAAGTTTTTCTTTTTTT